TCGGAGTTCTTGGGAAGAAACATGGCGACCATTGGGAACCAATTTGCGTTCATTAAAAAGATCTCATGCTAGACACATCTCAATTTTTAAATCAATCAATTATTAATAAATATTTAGCGAGCGTTTCTTATGTGCTGAGAATTAAGCTAGGCACTAGGAGAACAGTTCTGAATGAGACAGAAAGGTCCCTGGTGTTCTTGGGGCTTAAATTCTCTAGCTATGGGGGCTGTGAGGGTTGGGGAGGAGGAGACAGATAATAGACAAATAAATACATAAGGTAATGATGGGGTAATGAGTTCTATGAAGACCATGAACTGGGGAGTGAGGTGATTGCTTTAGCTGGAATGTCAGGGAAGGCCTGTCTGGGGAGATGGCATTTAGAAGAAGAGAAAGTACTATAAGCCAGGTAGACCAGGAGAACATTGCACCTGTGGCCTATCTGGGTTTTAGCAATGTCTTGAGGAAAATCCCGTCATATGATCATTACTAAAATATGTTACATGCTTATTCTGTGGCAGACACTATGGTACCTACTCTAGCCCATTGCCCTTGAGTCTATTTCAACTCATAACAACCCTACAGGACAGAGTAGAACTGCCCCATAGGGTTTCCAAGGAGCAGCTGGTGGATTCGAACTGCTGACTTTTTGGTTAGCAACCAAGCCCTTAATCACTATGCCACCAGGGCTCCATCTACTCTATAGGCATTTTATTTGATCCTCACAAGAACCCAATAAGGGGTGCATTCGCTCTAATTTACTGATGAAGACATTGAGGCTCAGAGAGATTGTGACTTGCTTAGGAGAGAGAGAGACAGGGAGCTGGGATTGGACCCTTGCCTGGGCTTGTCATCACGATGCCTATGACTTCTCAGGCTGCCTTTGTTAACACGATGCACAAATGATCCATAATGTGTTGAATAACAATTTCCAAAGGGTGATGATGACTAGGTGACATCCCCATGGAAGGAGCTGTGGTGGTTGCTCAGACTTGGTCCTCAGCGCTGCCTTGTCCATTGGTGTCAGTTACCTGAATGAGGGCTTGGGTAGCAAATCATGGTCCAGCCTCCTCTCTAATCTCCCCTGGCCATGCTACAGCTATGCCAGGTTACTGTCAATTCCCCCGACACACCGTGTGCTTCATGCTTCCTTGCTTTTGCACAGAATGCCTCTCTTATCTGGAAGAGCCCCTTCTCCCAATGATCCAGATGATGGCTACTTCACCTTCAAGAGGTAAAAAATGTCACCTCCTTCAAGAAGTCTTCCTTGAATTCCTCTAAACTGATGTTGCAAGTCTTTTGGTTTCCAATGCACCATGTACATATGTGGTACCCACAGCTAGTTGTTTTCTCAACAGCCACCGCCCCGCTTGTTCCTTGCTAACAGAGGAACAATTTTGATCAGGTGACAATGTGCTCAGAAAAGACAAGCCTAGCCCCAGAGGATGAGTCATAATTTGCCTAAACCCATTCCTTTTGTCCCGTGATTGGTTTAGGAGTGTGCACGTAGTTCTGGTCAATGGGACCTACCTAGGGTAGGGGCATTCTGGGAGTTTGCCTTCCCCTGTAAAAAGGGATACTCATGGGAAGAGGAACCCTGGTGGTGCAGTGGTTAAAGAGCTCAGCTGCTAACCAAAATGTTGGCAGTTCGAATCCACCAGGCGCTCCTTGGAAACCCTCTGGGGCAGTTCGACTTTGTCCTTTAGGCTCACTATGAGTCAGAATCGACTCGAAGCAACAGGTTTTCATGGGAAGAAGTGTCCCCTTCTTTCTTGCGCCTGGGTGTTGTCATTTGGGGAAGTCATGTATGGAGCTGGAGTAGCCATCTTGCGGTCAGGGGGCGGAAATCCAGGGAATGACAGAGAGGCTGCCCCCCAGTCCTGACATCATTGGGCTATCGAATCATCTAACCTTGGAACTTCCCACCGCCAAGCTTCTTGTTACCTGGGATCAAAAACCCTTTGGTGGACACCACTTTTGCTTTTCAGTTTGTTACTTGAAGCTGTAAGCATCCTAACAGGTAGAGCAGAGCTCCTTCTTCGTGAGTGCGTTAGCACCTTGGATCTGTTTCCTTGTTCATTTCCCTACACTGGAAACTCTTTGAGGGAGCTGTTTCTTCTTTGTGAAGAGCCTCCAGTGTCAGTACAAAATGTAACACACGGGGGTGACTTGCTCGGTGAATAAATGAAAGGATGGATGGATGGATGGATGGAAGGTTGGAAAGATAAACTAGCAGATGACATAGTTAGGAAGCGATGTAAATACTTGGGATCCTATCACTGGGATCCACAAAGAGAGGAGAAGATGCAGTCAAGAGCCAGACACAGAGGGGTAGGATTGAAGTGGGATCAGGTTGGCCTCTTTCTGAGTTCCAGACCTCTCAGGGGTGGGGTGGGGGGAGAAGTGCATTACTCAAAAGTAACTGGACATGTGTCAGCACCATTGTGGGGCCAACATAGAAGCCCCTGTAATATTGAGATATCTTCCCACAATTGCTTTTAGGATATAGACAGGGATGCTATGCAAATGACTATTAAATGATCCCAGCCAGGTCAAGAGGAGCACTGTGGGGCAGGAGGTGGACTGGGGTTGACAGTGACTCTGTTATTAGGCCTACTCCAACTGGCCTCCTCATACCCTCTGATCTGCCACCATTACTAGGGAGTATGCTCCTCATACCTCTTATCTGCCACCTCAGAGCTCTGAAACTAAAGGTGGCCCAAGTGGCATTTCCCAAGCCCTTCTCAACTACTTTATAGATTCTTTTATGCACCCCCCATTGCCAACATCTGTCCCTAGAATCAGCAGTACACTGAGCTGCATCTACTTCTCAGTTTAAGTCCTCTGTCCCAAGTGCCTGGCCTCCTGGGGGAGCTGGGCTTGAGTTCCACTGTGCTCTACTTGCTGTGAGCCTTGGACAATCATCCACCTATAAGCCTCAGGAGCTTCAGCTGTAAAGTGGGTGCATGAAGGCACCATAGAATTATCATGAATTTTAAGTAGGACAACAGGTATGAGAGGAGCAGGGCGGGCCTCAGGACGTGTGAACTTTGCACAGGGTGCGGAGCTCAGAATGGTTCCATTCTTGATTTCATGCTCTGCTGTTTTCATCTTGCAATTCTTGATAATCTTTAAACAAGGGGCCCCACATTTCATTTTGCACTGGGCCTGGCAAATTATGTAGCTGCTCCCAGCCAGGGTTTTGGAAACCAAAAAGCATTATAAAAATGTCCAGTGGGTTATTGTTGCTGGTAATGATAACAATACAGATATTCACTTTCTTTAAGCGGTGTGTATGTGCCTGGGGGCTTATCTGAAAGTCAGCAAGCTGGGGCAACGCAAGATACATCTCTCACTTTCTCTGTCCCCCTCGCTTCCCCAGGGCTCTGGAGCCCTCGACCTTCATTCTGAGGGTGCAGGCTCTGTTCTAATCCTTACGCTTTGCCTGACTCTCTCTGCCAATGTAAGCAAGTCCCTTTCCCCTCTGGATGCCACTTGACTGACCTACATAAAGTGGGGCCCCAGCCAGTCCCCAGGCTAATACTCTTCCTGCCCACCCCGCACCTGTTGAAAACTGGTTCTCTGAGTCTTTGCCGATCAGTTCTGCCCCTAGCGGGAGTCCGAGGCAAGCAACTCTCTTTCAGGAAGACAGGGTTAGAGGCATGCTGCCTGCTCCTGCCACCTCTGCTAGTCCCCAATCTCTGGAGCATCTTAGCAGCCAGCCCTGGGTGAAGACAAGGGCCACCAGTGTATCTGGAAGGGCAGGGGCGGATGCTGTGATTTGGGGGCTTCTGGGGAGCAAGGGCAGGACATGGCTGAAATCCTTAAGGCTGGGGATTGTGTATGGCAGTGTGATTGTATACCTGTGTGTCAGTATCAGCACCTGTCCAATTCCACGTGTGTGGAGCCCATCAGTCAGTGACCAGTGTGTGTCTCTATACAAGAGTGTGTCAGTGGACTTCAGTGCGTGGTACTGCTTTTGTGGACGACAGTATCAAGGTGTGGGTCTGTCACCATGTGTGAGTGTGGCTGTGTGGATCAGTGTGGGGCAGTGTAGTAAATTGGTGGTAGTGTAGTAAGTGGTAACCCTGTGTGTGTAGGCAGGGGAGTGCGAGCGTATTTGTCTGTGGGTGGTGATTCTGTAGGTGACAGTATCAGACACTGCGTGTTCCCGTAGGTCCTTGTTTCTGAGTAAGTGTGGCAGAGTGGGTGTGTGCACGGAATGCCAGTGTCAGTGTTCAGCTCTCCCTGGGACAGGGAGCCAGTGTACGTCTAACTCTGTGTGATTGTACCAGAGTGATACAAACTGTGGGGCAGTATGTGTGTGCCTGTCCCAGCCGTTCCTGAGTGAGTGGGGCAGAGCCCTGTGTGTGTGTGCGCGTGTGTGAGTGCATGAGTGCGTGGGTGTCAGTGTGTCTGTTTTTGTAGCAGTGATTCAGTGTGTATTTGTGTCAGACGATGTGCGTCTGTCGCTGTGTGTCTGCATCTGAGTAAGGGTGGCGGCGCGCTCTTCTGTGTGACAGTGTTCAGTGTGTTTGTGTGTGGTGTGTGTGTGTGTCGGTGTGTGAGTGCCAATGCATTATTAGCCTTGGAGTGTGAATTAGAATGAGTGAGGCTGTTCCTGTATCTGCGAGAGTGTGGGGGTCAACGCCTCTGCGAGGCAGTACACCCTGTGGCAGTGCCCCACGTGCGTGTCTCCCCGCCGAGGTCAGTGCTTAGGGCCAGCCACCCACGCCGCGACCCCTCCCCACGAGCCGCGGCCGGGCGCGCGCCGACGCCTCTAGGACCCGGCGGCGGCCGGCCGC